ATCATGTTGTCAAATATCCCAGAGCAGAGTGATTTTCTGACCAAGGGAATTTGATTGCACTGAGCCCACTGCAGAACTGGGGACTGCAGCAGGGCTCAGGCTCATCATTCTGCAGGTGGATGCAGACGATGCTTGTCTCTGCTGGCCTTGTATTGTTGGGAGCGTATGGAAAGATGGACACACTTCACAAGCGCTGAGCCAAGCTGATTTTAAAAAATCATCAAAACAGGCAATTTGTACAAATTGTGCCAGTCGCCAGCTTACAGATGTTTCGTGTTGCTCTTACTGCAATGCAAACAATAGTTGTAAGAGCCACCGCCTCGTGTCTGAGCAGCCAGCCCCTCCTCCTGCAGACAACGATGCTGTGTTTGTGGCATCTCCTTCTGCTGCCATGAAAATTGCTGTCATGTCACAGACTAAGCTCTGTGGCTTTGCTGCCAGATTAAGCAGGAGAAGCTAGACTGCGATTAGCAAAAAATGATCAGGAAAGTAGTGCACAGGGTTTCAAGGTGAAGAGCTGTGAATAATAGGAATGGTCGTATTATGTGCGGCAGCAAGATGAGCTGGGAGGTGCCGAAGCACTTGTAAAATGGAGCTGCAGGGAGACAGAAGATATGCATCACTGCTGTGCTGATGCTGTGTCAGAGCCAGGCACAAGGCCTGGAAGCCAACAGTGTTGCACTGATGGGTTTGCATCATTACAGCAGTGATGGATGGAGGAGAAGCACCTCAGCTCCAGTACCACACAGCAAATGCTGAGCAATGGCATGGATTTACAGTGGTGATTTCTGCGCCTCCCATGGCAATGAGAGCAGGTTTGTTTTTTTTTTTGTTTTTTTTTTACCTCCCATGGCAATGAGAGCAGGTTGGTTTTTTTTTTTCCTTTGAATCTTGGCACCTAATGAATTGCTCAGTTTATACATTCAATATAATACCGTGTCTCTGTTTTGCTGTGTTCCCGCTGTCTGTCCTTGGCAGGCTGGAGGGAGGAGAGGGTCCCAGCAGCTTTTCTCAGCTTGCACCCAGGAGAGATGGACTGGCAGATTCTTGTGGCAGGCAATGCTGGAAACTTGGTCTGGAGCCCTTAAGGCTCAGTAGCCAGGGTACCAGTGACTGAGACATCTGTTAGCTGAGTATAAAGGTGACAGCCATGCTATAAAGGCTTACATTATTGTCACCTCCTGAGCTGAGTAATGGGTGTGTTGTATGTACTGTGAGATCGCCCAAAGATCACTCAAGTGGCTGAGGGTTACATCTGAGAGCTAGGCAAAGAAAATGTCCTGCCTGGAGGGATTTAGAGCTCGAAGGGGAAATGTGGGCCAGCACTGCATGATTAATTCATGAGCTTCAGGTCACTCCTCCCTCCGCCCTCCCTGCTTTCCCCAGGGTGCTGCAGACTTCTGCTCTCCTCCCGCCTGGAACATAGTCCAGATAGAAGAGGACTTTGGTCCCTAGCTTTTTTGGAAATTTGGCACTTGGTAAGAAAACTGCAAGCAGCCTGCCTGACGTCAGGCCCCTGGTAAATAATAAATGGCCCCTGACCATCCACGGCCAGGCTGCGTGCCCGAGGAGGCTAAGCTACTGCACAGGCCCAGTGTGTGCCCAGATTTCTGTCCAGGATTCCACTGCTGCAAGTACCGGTGACCTAAATCGGCGCAGGAGCACCCAGGCGTTGGTGGCCATGGCAGTGGCGCAGGGTGGCAGTGTCCCTTTGCCTCCAGGATGGGGCTGTGCCTGTGCCTGAAGCAGTGCTTAGGCTGTGGTGGGGGATGAGCACTCATATGCTGACCAAGGGTTTGAATGAAAGGTTATTTAATGAAGTATGCAGCAGATTGCTTGTCAACATTAACCCATGCCTCCTTGCTAGTCAGTTACGTTTGTGTCATTTTTTCCAGCATGTTAATGGAAATGCATCTCTATGATTAGGTGCACGCAGGCGCTTGGCACTGCTGCTTTGATCAAGGACAAGCCACCCCTGGTCTGGAGCAAGGTGTAGGAGGCAGCACCCCTTTTCTTGGGCACAGTGTGCTGCTGGGGTGTTCATGCAGCACTGAAACCACACCTGGGCTGCTTGTGCCCATCAGCATCATCTGTGTAAAGGTACCGTGCTCTGCTTGTGCTCCTGGCTTGCGGTGATCTGTAACGTGTCCTACAGACATGTTTGACAGCTCGAGCTGGTTGAGACAAGTTCCAACAAAACCCTTTTTCATCTGAATTTGCTGATTTGCTGGAATGGAAACGTGTGTCAGAAATGTTTCTACATCTATCTGGTTCTGATGAAAGATGGGCAAGGCTCCGCGGCACCAGCCCCAGTGGCTTGGCAGACTACCTGGGGAGCAGCAAGATGTGTTGGTTTTCAGAAGCCTCATGTCCCGTGACTTCCTATTCCTGGCTGGGGGCAACCCTAGCCACAGGCCAGCTCAGGAGCAGGACCTGCTCCCTTTTGCAACAATTGTGAATGGTTTGTATTTTCTTCCAAGTGGGAAGGTGTCAATAATTAAAATGTTGAAAGTCTCCATAAAGTGCAGTTTTCTTTCTTAAGCAGAATTTGTTAGACCCTCTGAAATTCTGAAGGAGACTTTGTATCTAAACATTCAGTAATCCTTTACAAAGTGTGAGTCTTAATTTAATGGATGACTCACATAACTGAGTGCCTTCTTGAAACCGCATTTCTATCCTTTTTAGTTTCAGACCTAGTTTTGCCGCTTATATATGTGTATTTATATATAAAAGCATAGAAAATCCTTATGTCTACAATTATTTTTCTGGAGTTGTATTTCTGTGTTATTTTAGTCTGTCTTATTTTCCCAGCCTGTTACGTTTGTTTCTGTTATGCATCTTCTGTTTTAAAAGAAATAAAATGTAGAACATCTTGATGAGCATGCAGATTTTTTTGACTCATTAGCAGTGACAGATGCAGAGCTCTGGTAGCATTCCCTGCCTGTATCAATAAGCTCTTGCCTCTTGCAATTGGACAGTGTTAATATTTAGGAAGGAATTGAATAAGCTTAAAAAGCTCATAAGATGGCGGTCTCTGCAGGTCAGCAGGCAGGGTAGTAAATCAGCATGGTGAGGAGATGCAACTGCCAGCACATGGCAAAATAACTTATTACCATTCAAGCTGCTGATTCACAAGTCCTGCAATTACAAGTGACAGCAGAGAGGCTGGGGAGGAAACAGGGAGCCTGCAAATTCCAGACTGAGGACTTGCATTTGTCTCCATCCTTTAACAAGAAGGTACCAACATCTGAGACAGGTCCTGGGGAACATACCTGAGTGTAGTTCTGGGCCTTGGTCCCCCTCCCCGAGGTCATGTCACTGTTGCAGCATATGGAGAAAAGCTTCAAACCTTCTGTTACGTGCTCATTTGTCATGGATGCCTTTCCCCCCTTCTTTCTGCCCTTAAAATACCTGTTTCCACCTTCTTGCTTTTCTAGAAAGATAGAGAGGGCTATAGAGGCTTTGAACCTGCAAAAATGTTCAAATACAATATGAAAAGTAAATATGCTGCATATAACTGAGAAGTTACATTGAAGAAAGGTTGTTGTAAAACCCCTAGCTCTGACTCAGCACTTTTTAATCCGTATTTTTTCAGGAAGTCTGTATTGTTGGCCTGGTTTTATAATTAAAGAAATGGGTCAACTTGTTTTCTAAACTGGGAACTTGGGACATGCATGGTTTGTATGCATGAGTGATCTTGTAATTTAACCAGGGATTGAGTCTGGAGTGAGGAGTCTAAAACATGGACAACGTGGAGATTCTGAGTTATTGTTTGGTGAGCCAAGGAAATAATTTACAGTAAGTGGCTTTTTTATATATGAATAGGAAAAGAGGGTTCTGACTGCTTTAGGGCTTTCCAGCATTCATAGTCACTTGGCAAAAGTCTTTCCAAAAGCGTTATGCCCTGGAGTTACAAACTTTCCCTTTCTCTGGGTAGGTGGTGGGGTGCTGGTGTTTCTGGTATGACTTCGTCAATGAGGGAGTTCAAATATTCTTGGGAATGTGCACTGGTAAAGTATGCTTTCTATGAAATGTATTTTTTGAGAACAGAGTTTAACCATCTGAACAGAGAAGAATGGAAAGAGGTGGTTGTTGAGAACAGTGCCCCAGCAGACTTGGTATTGGAACAGTTCTTCATGGGAATAAATGTTTGCTTTCTGGCACTTTAGAAAATACCAGGAGGCAGTAGCTCTCTCGGTTGTTCATATGGCATTTCAGGAGGAAAACTGCTGAACTTTGGAGGCTGCGCTCCTGCCCTCATTCATGGAGTGCATGAGATATGCTGTGGGGAGTGTCAGTACAGAGTGGCCCCAACCCAACTAACTAGCAGCCTTTGACATGCAGGAGTCACAAATTAGACAATTAATTCTTCATGCCCACTAGAAACCAGATTTTCTGCTGTTGGTCTGTAACACAGTACGGGAGGCGCACGCTGTGGGCTGTATCCCTTGGCCGCCTTGGTGGAGGGTCTGAGTTGACTTTGCTGAGCTGACGTTACTTAAAGCATCTTCCCTGGGGAGGAATTTCTGCATTACAGAGCTCAGCAGCCTCTCCTGACCTTGTCCCTCCCCATTTCAAGCTCTGTTACTCTTCAAGGCATGCCAAGAGTCCCAGGTGAGCACAGCTTGGCCATTCCAGTTCTGGGCAGCTTATTCTGTCCCTTTTTGGCCTTTGTACAATCAGGTGGTAAAAAGGGGATGTAGCAGGATTTTAAATGTTTCCATGTGCAGTGAGTTCTGCTTTGAGGAAAAAAGACTGTGATTACCATGAGGCCTCATGTTTCAAAAGTCAGAAATAAAATTCAGTGAAACTATGTTTTTCCTCTCCACTGTCTGTGTACCCACCTGAATCTGTGGCATAGACCTTTATATAGGGTAAGTGCTTTGATACTAATGGATTTCTATATAATATAAGCCTGCTTGGTATCATCAATATGTTACTATGTTTATTTATTTCAACAAACCCACATTTCTTTCTTTTTTTTTTTTTTTTTTCCCCAGAGTGACCGACTACTCATTAAAGGTGGAAGAATTATCAATGATGACCACTCCTTCTATGCAGACATATACCTTGAAGATGGACTTATAAAGTTGGTTTTTTAAAATACTGAACTTTTTTTGCATGCCTGTTAGTATAGATTACTGTGATTTCTTGATGGTGCAGACCTGAAATCTTGCAGTCAGCATCTCGGTGACCTCTAGATGTGGGGCCATAGTAGAGGAGTGTTTAATTATGAAATTCTGCCATTTTATCTTTACTAACATTAGATAAGTAGAAAATTCCTTTACTGTAAGTTGAAGGTTTTTGCTTTTCAAACAGTTCATTCCTAGTTTCTTCCAGAATAGTCAAGGCAAGTAGGTTCTCTCAACACCAGAAGTAATGGTTAGGACAACGGATATTTTTTTAGTCTATGTATGACAGAAGGCTTATTACAGTTTTTTTCCCCACACCTAATAAGGGTGAATGCAGCCATGCTCTAAAGGATTGTATGGCGCAGAAATATGCCAGTGTTACACAATGTAATAATGGGGACTAACTCCCTCTCAGTCCCCTGTTGGTTAATGCTGAAGTGTAGCATGTTCTGTTCCTACAACATTGTTATGCGTTGCTCATATGTCCCTTTTCTTGCTTAGCAAAGGAATATGATTTTAAATCTTCACACAATTAGAAAGAAAATCCTACTGGCATATCAGGATACAAAATACAGAAACTCGGAAGATATTCCTTAGGTGAAAAAACATGAAATGTATGTTACTGGTAGCCTGGGAAATGGTAACAGAGATGTCTATTTGTGTAGCTCTACTGGTCCTACCTTGGCTTACTGGAGGTGGGGGTCTCTGGTTTTGCAGAGCACTCTGATGTACACAAGGATCAAAGCCTTTTTCTTGACTGCTAAACATTTCCCGTAGTGACCTAACAAGTTTGGTCTCCAGAGGCTTCAATTTAATGCACAGAAATACAATTATGTTTGTCTGTTAAATAATTAATTACCTACTTGTTTTCAGAGCTGCTTTTTGTGAGAAGATACCATCAGATTAAAAGTCTGGTTCCTTATATATCTGTGCTACTTATACTGTGGTTACTATAACAGAAAAATTTCTGAAGACTTTTATCCATGGACTTTGCAGTTTTCTTCTTAATACTTCACTCTGCCTTTCCAGTTGTAGTGTTACTTGCATTACAGAAGTGGCAAAAGGAGCCTATTGTTTTAAGTGGAGAAGGCACAAAATGTTGAATGTTCATCTTTCTTTTTTTTAATAGCAACAATCAACCAAGTTGTGCTGTCCTTGTATTCTAGTTGAGTTTTTCTGTGATTTTGTTTTTTCAGATGCAAATTCCCTAGTAACACTTATAAGCATCAGAACTGATTTAACAACTAAGTGCAGGACATGCTGAGAGTCTGAAACTGCTGTGAATTTTTGACCTTGATTCCAGAAAAGTAATGGTACTTGGTAGGCAGGTTATCAATGCCAAGCTTTCAGCTGCCCTTGTTAACTGCATTGAAATCCATGTGTGGATTCTTACCTCCAGAAAGTATCTTAGGTGCCCAACTAGGATTAATAATGAAGAGACTTTTAAAAATGCCTTTATCTTTGCCCAGGGAGGCAGGTTTACTATTCAGCATCCTGAGTCATGCCTGGTTTCCTGGATTTAGACAACCTGAGATTTTTCTTTGTAAATTGTCCAAGAAGTCCTGCTCTGAAAAAGCAGCTAATTTGTGAGGGCAGCCTGTTGTGAGATAGGCTTGGGTCCTAACTGTGTTCAGATGTTAAATTCTGCAGCCTAGGAAAGAGATATATTTTCTGGGATTGGTCTCTTTTAGTTTCTCCAGCTGGAACTGCCCATTGTGTCTGTATATTTAACATAGTTTCAAGATCCTCTGGAGCAGAACCCTGAAACTCAGACATCCATGTTTCAGTTGATGCCCTAACTCTCCAGCTGCAGATCCTGCTGATAATCCAGAATTCTTCCCACAGAGTGGAGCAGACATCAAACCACCCAGCCCATAATAGGCAATAGTGTCCTGGTTTTGTTAGGATATAAAAGTTCTGGGTTAATTTTCTTATTCTGCAGTGGAAACGGACTGGAAGATAGCGGGTTGGGTTTCTTTTGCAGACCAATGAAATGAGTAGAATCTTTTAACGCTCGTGTCCCTGCAGATTGTCCTGCAGAGAAGAGTGTAGATATAACCTTGAAGGTGTTGAAAATTAGCTATATTTTGGAGAATGGTAGATGCTTTTTCCTACCCATCAATGCTTAAGCTGGCTCCCTAGGTACGAGGGAGCAGTGGTCTGTGTGGATTTTTCCTAGCTGAAACTTAAGCCCTGCACACTCAGGTGGCAGCTGAGAGGCAGTTCTCTGGTATCTAAATAGTAACTTAGATATTCAGTAATTTAAATTGCCAGTGGCATGTAAATAATATATTTTGCCTACATCTATCCTGTCTCTGGTATCCACACGAGGAAGTGAGTCCCAGTCTCCGTGCTAAGCAGCGGGTCACCCAGTCTTGTGCCTGCTGTCCTATGCTCTGTCACTGCTGGGGGAAGGGTTGAGTCCCTCCACGCTGGAGGGGACTAACAAGTGTGCAGGATGGGTAACTGGGGATGGGCTTTCCAGACCTGGACAGGCAATGAGCCAAGTTACAGGGAGCCTCAGATGCCTGAAAGAGACCTGGGCTTGATAACTACACAAATACCTCCATGGAGTCCTGGGGGAGGTTTTCAGCTTTCTCAGGTAAAGCTTATGGAGAGCTGAAGCCTGATGTTTCTGTTGTGTTTTAGTCAGCTTATGTGTGACAGAATTTACTAAGCTTGTTTGACTGAAGACTGCAGGCAGCATCATCTTTCCATGACCCTGAGTGTTCTAGTTGCTGGTGCATCAGAAAACCAGCTCGATCATTTATACAGCGTCTAGAATACAGTTATCTGTGCTATTGCATTTTTTTACCCACAAGTAACTGAACCCCATTCTTATTAACATAAACTTAGCATTAACAAGTGAGCAATTCAGGAATCCTGTCACATTGTCTCTTACTCTGTGTTCTAGTCAGTCAGAATAAAAACAACTTTGAATGCCAGCGAAGATCAGCCTTCTCCCAGCCTTAATCTTGATGCCAGGGCAAGAGATGAGACAGGTTCCCGACAGGTCATAGTGCAGCAGCAGCCACAAAGGCCATTTGGTCCCATGTCATTTCAGCATGGATGACTTCAGCCATTGCCAAATAAGCTGTTGACTCAACTGTACACTGAAAATAATGAACAATGAGTTCATAATCAAAAAACTTCAGTATGTACTTAGGACTCTTTCACTTCATTAGAGTATGTGTCTTCTTGAATAGGGAACTGGGAGATACTGATTGTGGAAGAAAATAAAAGTGAATTGCCTTTACATTTTTGTGTAAGTTTTCTTTAATATTATTTTCAGGTGTGGTAGTCCCTGCAGTGCAATTCCACCCTGGACATATTTAAAGGAGATTGGTCATAGTAATTTATTTTTTTTCCAGTTCAATTTTTTAGACACACAAACACTGTACAAAGGTTGAGGATTGCTCTCATTAAAATCTTGGGAGTGAATTCAACTAATGAAAATTAGTGCGACACCATTATTACACGTGGGGCTACCTGACTTTATGAGTTGGAGTGCCTTATGGTATGCCTTTGCGAGTCAGATTTTAACAGCAGAGGATCTTCTTGCAACTTGTTTGCACAATTGGATGTGCTGGGCTGCTGCTGGCTTTTGCATATATTTCAAATCCCTGTTTGTCATGGTACTGTTAGTGCTCCTCGCAGCTCTAACAGGTTATGACATGCTCCCAGTGCTGTAGGTGTTGATGATATTAGATGCCAGACATGGAGTTGTACAGCTTCAAGCCACGATATTATCAGCTCTCACAAGTAAGAGTAAGCCCTTTTGCAGTTGTTCAGCACTGAGCGGCTGAGACCCAGCTCAGGATGCTGGTGGGGATTTTGCTAACAGAATGGCTGTGCTTCCCTCCAGCCAAAACCCAGAGCACCGGGGGAGCCAAGCTGCTGGAGGTGACATTTTTGCATTGCGTATGAAACAAATTCTTGACCTCTTGGGGCGATTTATTAACTCTGGCAGTTTGGCCAAATTCCAATGTGAATAATTATCCTTGTTTTTTTCGCTGGTTTTAATTAACAGTTGTATTCATTTTCGTTTCTAGCTTGTTGCGATTGGCTGTTAATCAGTCGCTGTGTTTTGCTCCGTAGGTGGGAGTTGCGTTTTAATATAGGAGAAAAGATTCAGCAGCTCAGATATCTGGGGTATTTGTTTAGCTGTGGATAAATGTTATTTTATCCCAGACAAAAGGAAATGAAGACAAGGACTGTGTGTCTGCAATACGAGATAAACTAAGTGAACTTAAACTACCTCACAGTTATCTCTAAGCCCAAATATATTATGGTGCAGAGACATGGCTTCCACACAGACCCATACCTTTTCCTGTTTGGCACCATGAGAAGTAGACAATAAAAATGTAATGTGGCTTTAAAAGTTAAAGGTTCATTTACTTGTCATTTTGTCCATGAACACTAAAAGTATTTTGATTGTAAGTATCTGGAGTTTGCTTGATATCAGCCTGGGGGACAAATTAATGTTTTTAATAGTGAAAAAAAAAATCCTGTTTTGAAGAACTGAAGGGAAAAAGATGGCAGCAGTTAATTAACATTTTTCCACACAGTTACGCAGAATGTTTCACTAAGTTTTAACTTCAAGAGCAGGATGAAGAATATGTTACATTGTAGATTAAAGGTGTTTGGTTCTCTTAAATATGTACTTATGTATCTTAGGATGTTTATATTTCATTTTAAGGATAAACTTGCATTGTGTGGTTACAAAGTAATTATAAATCCTTTCTCATGAGCCTTGTGCTTCTGCCTTATATTTACAATTCCAGCTTGCTGTCATATTTGATCTGTGTTTTTCTGTTTTCATTTAAGAATTTAATATACAAAACTGGAGCCCCCAAGAGAGCGTTAACTGTACATATTTGAAATTGTTTAAAGATAGGAACCATACAGAAGAGTAATCAGTTTTTAATGCTGGTGCATTATGACTTCTTTATTGGCCACTAGAGCAAGGCAAAGCAGTGCGAGCACACGGTCCAGCTGGGCAGGCTTGCAGATGCTTTGTTCTGCCAGTGCCCTGCAGAGCAGCCAGAGTGGTTTTTGAGCTTCACCTTCTCTTTGGGGTCTCAGTTCCTTCTGTATGCCCTCTAGGTTCCTCTTCCTTGTATGCCTCAAATAGCTTCTGTCCCCTGTGCTTCTTTGTTTAACTAAAATAATACTGGCTTTCCTTGCTGCCTAGGCAAATAGGAGAGAATCTGATTGTTCCTGGAGGAGTCAAGACCATAGAGGCTAATGGGCGCATGGTTATTCCTGGGGGAATAGATGTCAACACTTACCTACAAAAGCCCTACCATGGAATGACTGCTGTTGATGACTTCTATCAAGGCACAAAAGCAGCACTAGCAGGGGGCACTACCATGATCAGTGAGTACTAGCAATACTAACTCTTCCTCCGCCAAGCTGAAGCTAGGGTGGCACATGTGGGGAGAACTAGAGGCAATGCCAAGCACAAACACAGGCTGGGAGGAGAACGGATCGAGAGCAGCCCTGAGGAGAAGGACTTGGGGGTGCGGGGTGATGAAAAGCTCAACATGAGCCGGCAGTGTGTGCCTGCAGCCCAGAAAGCCAAACGCATCCTGGGATGCATCAAAAGCAGCGTGACCAGCAGGTCAAGGGAGGTGATTCTCCTCCTCTACTCTGCTCTTGTGAGACCCCACCTGGAGTACTGCATTCAGAGATGTCCTGGAGAAACATCTTTCTTGGTGGAAGGAAGAAGTGATTCTAGTTGTTAAAGACCCTTCTTCTGTCTACCAGATGGCGGGACAAGATTTATCTCTTTCCAACTAGAAGTGGCTTGGCCATTGGTTAGACTTTGTGAGGCCGTTGTTCAGCTGACATAAGTTGTCTTAGCTTCCTTGTGCAGAGGAGCTGCCCAGTGAGGTTCTACTCCTGCTGCATGGGAATGTGGCGTTTTTTTACTGAGTGGTGTTATCTCTTACCTATGTTCAGCAGCAAGGATCAGTAGAAAGTCTCTCTGTCAATAAACACAAAATGCACTGCTGTTCATTACTTTTGTTAATATTTTTTTCAGTGTATGTTCTTCAGTTGAAGCTTCCTTTGCAGCATTAGGTTTGCAAGTGCCACCGATAAACTCATCTTGCTTTGTTTCCATACTTACTTTTGACCTAGCCCTGCAAAGATAAGTATATGTGCATAAGTAGTCATGCCTTTATTTTATATCAGTAAATATTGTGGCATCATCAGATGCAGCAAGCCTTGAGATGTTGAAGATGCATAGTTGCAGCGCACTTGATCTGCCATGTAGTGCAGCAGTGTGTTTGTGCCCTACGTCATCTCTGTTGAGACCTTTGGCTGTATCCCCAATTCTGGCTGCTGAGAAAGCATTCAACATCTCCGCTGATGTATTGGTAGGGCAGAGTGGACCAATTCAGTGACTACAAGGTACTGGTTAATGATAGTGCTTACTGTCAAATGCATAGAAATGAATACATCAGACAATAAATACAGGCAAGTCAGGAACTTGTGGTCTCTTACAAAAGAGTGAAGGGAGAAACAAGTGTTTCCTAAACCATGAGACGTTTGGCTCTCCCACTGTGTGGTCTATTGATGCTACAAGCAGGTTGCCAGGCTCAGCTTTAGTGTAGACTGTCCACAAAGTCTGCGGTACCTGTGACAGCAGGATCTGGCTAGCATCCCAAAGTTACAGCCTGCACACAACTGCCTCCAAAGCTGCTGTTTTGGCCAAGATGCTGGAAGGCTACTTACTCACAGGCACTGGGGAAACCTGAACAGTGTGTATGCACTGTGGGTAGGTAACAGACACTGAATCTCTTTTTCAGTTGACCATGTGCTTCCAGAACCTGGATCAAGTTTACTGACCTCCTTTGAGAAGTGGCATGAGGCAGCTGACACCAAATCCTGTTGTGATTACTCTCTACATGTGGACATCACCAGCTGGTATGATGGGATTCGAGAAGAGCTGGAAATACTGGTGCAAGACAAAGGTTAGTGAGTGAAAACTAGTAGTATTTTTTTGCTTTTATTGAAATACCATAGGGAGGTGAAATTTTGAAGTGTTTTAATGAATGCATCATCCAGAACAGAAACACACAGGTGCTGGTTACACTGCTGCAGGTCCTGCACTACCCTGGAACTTTTGCATTAACTTGCTGCTGTGTAAAATGGACCTAAAACTTTGTGCATCAGTGCTAGTCAGTAGCAAGGCCAGTGGATGGAGTAGGTTTACCCAACATAGGCATGGAAAACTAAGATGTATATATTGTCAGATACAAATGTATCGCTTTATGCTTGCTTGTACATGTAGAAATAGGTTCAGACATTACATCCTTATGTTTTATTTTAAGATAAAACTCAGAGATCAGCATTTAGGCTAGTCAGCCCAGTCACCTTAGATCATCTGTTTCATGAATGGAGAGAGGGACATTTAAAGATTCAGATTTTAACTAGACTGGAATCTGCCCATTTTGCTGCCTCAAATTAAGCCTGAATATGAAGGGCATATGTGTCTGAGAAACTGTCATCACAGGCGAGATCTCATTTCTCAGCAATGGCTTAGGAAAATGTACTTGCTGAGACTAGATTTTTTTTATAAAACATGCCTGTATTTTTTTAAGTTCAAGTTATTAGAAAAAAAATGAAGCTAAAGTTAGGTACCTAATATTGAAAAATGTCCTGATTTTCTCAAGTGCTTGGTCTCCAGTGGCTTTCCCTGAAGTTACTAGAAGACACTTTGTTTCAGGACTTAGTAAAAACAGGTCACTTATTTAGGAATCTATTTAAGACACATGTGGGCTTGATTCAGTTCAATTAACAGGTCTACTGTTGTGTGAGATCCTGCAGGTTACCCTGCCTGGACTCCAGCTACCACTCCAGAATAGCACAGACAAAACCTCTCACAAATCGCTTTCCATACATGCCAGCTCAGTGTGGCAGTCTCATATATGGAGGGCATCTTGGTGACACCAGATACATATGTGTGGGCAGTTGAATCAAACCTTCCGAAAATATTAATTTTTATATAGTTCCTTAAAATTCTGCCTAATAGCATGGATTTTCAGTCCAGAAACATATTTTTTCAAACACTTTTCACTTGATACTTTCCTTGAAAAGGCGTGGATATTAATTAAGGAGTATTTTCTGAAATGGTATTTAGTTACCGTGGGTAAATCAGAATGACCCATGTGTTGGGAAGTCTAAGTAATATAAGTATGCAGCATCCTTTGTAAGGTATAGTTCTAGTGATGATTTAGATTTGAAAAATTCTGTTTATATAGAAATGTGCTATCAAAGTAGAAAACCAAAATGAAATCCTATTTTTGAGTGAGCAGTTGTTCACTGAGATACTGTGGAGGTGCAGTCACTTAGGGGAATTCATCCTGTATCACAGTATGCTAGCAGTACATGTGCTCTATAACCAGATTTTAGGCAACAGAACCCTTCAATCAGCAAGTGTACACATAATTTGCAGAAACTGCAGCTGGTCTTACATAGTTTTTTATAATATAGGTGTTTTTTACAAGGTGATGACATCTGTCAACACTGATGGTGCCAAATCTGTGCTGTTTCCCTGCTATCAAGGTTAACATGGATATGCTGTGGTGCATTAGCTGACCGTACTCTCAGACAAGTGTACCATGCCTTGTTTCAAAGGTTGGATAGTGTTTTCCAGAGCTCCTGGATCACAGATGGCTCAGCACTCCCAAATGTGCCTGAGGGCTTACATTAAAAGCCTGGTGCAGACAGTTAGGTTAATAGTTTTCTCCAGCTATTGAAATTTGAGTTTTCAATATAAATCTGGCTTGCCTTTCACTCTTCAGAGGAAGCAGGAATCTGGTCGTTAGTTCCTAAACCAGGATATGCAATGGGGCCCATGGTGACATTAGCATTAGGAGCTCACCTTTGTTGTCATGGATGCTGCGGTGTGTCTCAGGCAGTCAATGTGAATTACTCTCATGTACTAGGAAACACAAGGTAAGGGCGAGTGCGAAAGCACAAGCACAATAGGAAATATTTCAGTGTGGCAAGGGCTTTCAAATGAATGGATAATATCTGCTGATAATTGGAAACATTTGAGCCAGCTGGTGCAAATAGACTTGATGTCAATGAAGTGACACTGGTTTTCATCAGCTGGGAATCTGGATTGAATTTGTTCTTGGCTGATTGTCTGGTGGGTGAGTTAGGCAAGTAACAGGGCTCAGTTAATCAAGTTTCAGTGCTGCATGTGCCTAATACAATCTCGGCATGAATAACAGAGGAGCTTACGGAGCTGCTGTTGAGGTACCCTGTCATGAGGTATAGTTGAATAATTGATCAGTTTTAAATCAATACAAAGCTGATTTAAGGGGGAGACAGGCTTTGGAAGAGCTTGGAGATTTTGTAGAACTAAATGCTGATTATAAAGACTCAGGGTTGTACCATTTTGGCAGCTAATTTAGGGCTGCACTTCTCCAGTATATGCAAAGGAACAACAGCCTGAGATGTGTTGACAGGTGCCTCACTCATTCTTTTAGCTACTGCACTTAGTCACTGTTCAAAAAAAGCCTGTAGCACTGTCTGAAATTTGGAGAGGATCCCATTGAGTACTCCTGGTGTGAAAGCAAGCAGGACATTGGCAAGAATGTAGTGTGTAACAAATGTTAAATGTTAAGGTCAATAGGCCATGGACGAAGTCTTTTGAAAAGCCACATATTTCCAACGAGTAGATCGAGACACCAGAGCAAGGCACTAGGCAAAGAGTCTAATCTTGGATACCTGCAAATGTAATGGGTGTTATTTTATCTTGGTGTTTTGTAAAGATACTCTCTTTGCAAGGCAGGATGGTTCAAACCATCTCTCTTGTCAGCTGTGAAGGCAGCTCGTGAGATGCCCTTCCACTTGCTGTATATCTGATGTGGTAGCCGAAGGTATGGGCATGTATTTAGATGGGAGAACGCTGCTTCTGCACTGTGGGAGCTGTTGATAAGGGACAGGCTCAAGATTCCATGGCGGGATCCCTTCTGCTCTCATTGACTTCAGGGAGAATGTTAATGTGAGTGGGAGCAAAACTCATCGTCATTTTACCAAGGTCAGAAAAGGTCCAAAGAATATACAGAGGCTATAAAAGAAAAAGCAAGAGAATATATATTACTTGGGTCAATGTATGTCTTCCAGCCATGGTACCCAAAGAAAGTTGCCTTTTCTCCTACGGGATTGTGATTAAATGAATTACCTTTGGCTAGATCCCAGTGGATAAAGGAGAGCAATAGGTAACACAGCTCTCTGGTTACAGAGAAATATGTATGAGAAGATTCAGTCTCGTGCCATCACCGAGGCTAGTCGGCATGGCTCGGACCAGCCTTGACACATCTCTCATTGCTTCATGTGTGCATGGTCACCCGTGCAGAAAGGTGGCTCCCATGTGCAGCTGACATCTGAGACAGTGTGTGGGTTTGTGAAGAGAAGCAAAGCTTTCCTCTGAGGCAGGTCGGGCAGATGGGATCAGTCAGAGGGGAGAAGGTGCTGCAGGCGTGAGGCTGTAAGCACTGACCCTGGGGAAGGCGCAGTCAAGCTTAAAGGTTTTAAAGCAGGGACGTAAGTACATTGAAACTGTGGAATGAGGAATTGGCTGAGGGATTACAGCTAGTAAAGGTGTTTTCTGGGAACTCGAGAAATATGAAAATAGGAAGAAACGACAGGCTCACAGGCTGACGAGGCTCCACAGTCCAGGCTGGATTTGCTCAGCGGGGAAGTCAGCAAGGAGGGGCTGGCTCCCACTTCGTGTTTCTCCCTGAGCTGCCTGGCTTTAACAGGAAGACGTAATACCAGGGATCATTTCCAGGTTTTATCCTGCATGTATCCTAGGGTATAAACAAATTCTCCGTGTGAGTGTGAACAGCCATACCCTCTGCCTGAGGATATATCTACGCCTTCTAGACTCATGAAGGTGTTATATCTTCATCAGAGAGCTTTATTCATTCAGTGTAGCCAACATGAATAACATGAACAGATCTCTTTCTTTTTCTTCTTGCCCCAGGAACCACAGTTTTTGTGACAGCTATTTTGAAATGCAGCGTACATGGCTTATCTTAGAATTTACTTTTCTTTTAAGCTAGAAAACTCTGAGATCAGTCTCTGTACCAGGCTGGAGATGTTGTCAGTAGGCTAAAGAGTAAGGCAAATTTATAAACTAATATCAATTCATGTGTACAGAAAATATGAACAGAAGATGTCTGGAATTCCTGTTGCATTAGAATATGAAGCTCTGCAAATAATCAAGTCTTTGAAATACATAGCAGAACTTGTAGGAGTTTGAATACAGTTGGTTATTGGCAACTGACACTCAACAGTAGCAGTTCTTACTGATTTCTAAAATTTGGAGCTGTCATCTTTCATGGTTTTGTATGACTGCCAACATAAATCCTTCCATCTGTGGAAGGTGGAAGGAGAGGTATGGTGAGCTGCCCTTGTAACTGGTTTCAGGTGCTGCTCCCTCTCCTTCCTAGTGCCTGCCATCAGCTAAGCTGGGTGCTTTGGGCAGTAGGGTCAAGAAAAAGCAAGTCTATATGGAAATTCCATTACACGGTTCCTGCAGCTTCTCAGCATTTTGGGAAAACTTAACTAGAAGTTTATCTATTAAAAAGCAGTTTCAGGTGAAGCTGAAATGTTTTCCTGATTAGCTAAAGAAAGCTAAAAAGAAACACAGTTGTCCTGTTTTTGGTTGGGATAGAGGTATGAGAAGCAGAAAAGGCCTTGACTCTGTGTAAGCACTGTTCAGCAGTAATTAAAACATCCCTGTGTTATCAACAGTGTTTTCAGCACGAATCCAAAATGTAGCCCCATTCTAGCTACTTATGAAGAAAATTAACTCTATCCCAGCCAAAACCAGCACACCAGTGAGTCACAGAACCTTTCACAAGTTTTTTTTAAACTTTACGGACTTTACATACTTGCATTAGCCACTGTTTCTTGTCTGTGATTTGGCTACAAGCCATCTCATTTGTGGTAGTGGCTGGGTTGCTCCAGGGCTGAACACAGGCAATCCACAGAGTTCAACAAATTCCCCCAGAGAAGAGGGGATTCAGGCTTCTAGTCCTAGCAGCTGTTATGCAGCTGTGCAGCCATGCTTTATTTCTGGCCACCACTGGTGAAAAAGGCTAGTCCATATGAATATTTTCTGACCTATTTTTCCTGAAGTTTTTGTTCAAATGCAATTTAAGACTCCACTTACATGGCAATACCTTTGAATTTTGTTTTGGAACAGGTGTGAACTCTTTTCAAGTCTACATGGCCTACAAAGACCTCTACCAAATGTCCGACAGCCAGGTATTGCTCTGAATGCTTTTCATTGCTCTGATCTGTCCTCTCTCCTGTGATCTCCCTCCCAAAACCTGAGGAGTTGCTCAGGTTGAATCCCAAAGAAAGGTTCTCATTGACCTGAGTGGCTCTGTGGGAAATGTGCAGTGGAGGAGTTCTTCTCTCTGGAGGGTCAGTGCTGAGCAGTGTTGAACATCGGCATGTGTTCCTCCAAGTGTATGACATTCATCTTCTGCAAGGATTGCCTGGTGTCCACCAGCATTACAACCACTCAGCACTGCTCAGGATTTTGCTGTACACTTTGTTTTGCTGTTACTTTTCAAGAATTCCAGTTCAGAGAGGGAAGAAAAGATGAAGCACTCCAGGCAGTTGAAGCTTTCAGATTTCAGGGGTTTCTCAGTTGCTGCAAACAGCTAAATGGAGTTGCTCTTGGGGGAGGTGGCCTTTTCTCATTAGGGCTGGAGATAACAATGAGCTTGTTTGTCCAGAGCTCATTACAGATTCCAAACTCTTCAGCTTTCCCACTCGTAAGTATCAGGTCATTGTAAATGGACAATGGCATCTGTTAGTAATAATAATGTTTGCTTATTCAGTTGAGAAAATGTTTCTCTTTTACTTATTCCCAGAGCTATAGCTCTTGGTCTCTTAAATAACTGTTGTTACACCTCCAGTCCATGTGGTTTTAATTGGAATTTTAGACATAATAATATATAAATATTCTCTGAGAGGTAGTGCCTGTTAAATTCAATTCCCTCTTGGAATTGCCAAGAGAAATACATCAAAATGTTTAATGTGTGGCTAGACTAATGCCTGTAACCTTGTTTAAATGCGCATGTTGGAAGCTGAATATTGTGACCCATTCAATGCTAGCTGAAGTGCCCTAGTGCAGAAGTGGGCACTGAAGGAACCATGTCTTCAGCATTTGATCCGTGTTTGAAAACTGGGCTCCCACGCTACTGAAGTCTGCTTTAAACAAGGAACACATTAGCTGAATACCTTTTGGAAAGGGAACTGAATTTCAGTAGATCTGTGCTCAGAAATTCTAAGCAAAAGCAACAGGATCAACTATTTCCCTTCTATGACGGATGAGTTTTTTAATCTTAGAAGGCAATAACAAAAAAGGATACTCTAGAGAAAACATTACCATTTTTAGTTGCAGAATTAAAGATGTTGGTGAAAGCTTGACACTATCTGCTCTAAGAAGATGGTGCAAAATGCCTGCACTTCAGAAAAGAGGTGTTTTGGCTGTACTAAAAGTGTCTGTAGTCCATTTTACATTTGCTAAAACTATGGAATAGAGACTACTCACTAAACTTGGGCTTGAGTGGGAGGGCGTGAAGAGGGAGCCCTGCAGCACAAGGGGCTGGGGAGGCACTATGTTGGAGGGAGATACAACTCCGCTCAGCACTGTCGGCCCTGTCCTAGTGCAGAAGGGCAGAGGCTCATCCTGGGGCTGGCTGGTGTGTAAGGGGTGGCTCAGTCAACACCTGGAGAGTGGAAAAGGGAGATAATTTGCTACTCACCTAGATCATTACCAACATACAAGGAGCAAAACTGAGGTGAATAGAGGGGTCTGAGTGCTAAGTAATGTGTTTTCCTTATTCAGCAGTGTTTCCTTCTTTGTACTACCTGCAGCTTTACGAAGCCTTTACCTTTCTAAAAAGTCTTGGGGCTGTTATCCTGGTCCATGCCGAAAATGGAGACTTGATAGCTCAGGTGAGTGAACTGTCATTTTTGCTTCACTTTGTGAGAAGATACACACAAGAGAGGAGATGTAAAAACCTCCAGTCAGAGTATGGGAAGGAGAAAAGGAACTACCTGGTATGTGCCTTAATGGGGCCTGAGGTCCTTACACGCTGCTGGTGTCACCCCTGGGATGAGAGGGTGGAGGCCCTTCCGTGTGCTTTGGCAGAGCATCTGTGAGGCAGAGCAGTGGCCCATAGAGCTCCCTGCCGTGGCAGCAGATTAGGACTGGGTGAGAGGGGCAGAAGGACGTGATAAGATCTCTTTGGAGTCTGGCAGAGACAAGTGAAGCAGGACAACGTAAAGTCTTGCTCACAGATTTTGGGGACAAAAAGTGGAGCTGGGAAGCTTTGTGCTGACGTGTCTTGCTGCAGCTATCGGCATAAGCAGCATAGTGAGTTTGGAGCGGGTGGTAAAGCTCTCAGACCTATTTATTTTTGAGAATATTCTTATAAATCTCTGAAGTTTGACAATAAGAAACCACCGTGACCTTCTAAACATTTCAGAAATGTGCGTTAAAGTGTAAGTCATGTTCTTTGAAGATGCCTGTCAGAACCAGGAAGCTGGGCTCAAATTCAGGGTGTTCCATTAGAATGTTCCAGATCCCCCGTGTGCTCTTTTCAGGTCAGGTCCCTGCATAGGTACTGTCCTCACACCGGAGTGTGCCGTAGGTCTGATCTGTGTCACAGCACATCGAAGCCAATAGTAAACCTCCTGCTAGTCTTCTGGAGGCCACGATTCCCCTATAAATCAGAACAGGCAGGTTTGGGTGGGTGTTGTTGTGATCTATACATCTGTGGCAGATGAAGCTTTTAAGGCAGCTGCAGAGATGTCTCCCTCCTCTGATCCCTTATACGTGCACAGAGCCCCTCTGAGGTCCATGAGGCTCTGAGTGAGCCAACTGATTTATCTGCTGAGCTCTTTATCTGCTGGTTTATCCGCTAAGGACTAGGCTGCAGAGCTGACAGGAAAATTACCGCAGCTGAAAACAAGTTGTCTTTGAGATCCGGACTAGGGAAGCCACCTTGTCTTAGGGCTAAGGGTGAACCTCAAGGGAACATTTGAGTGGTTGGGCAGTGTGTAAGGACTCTTGCTCACATGGGTTTATTTTTTTGTTTTTCCTTCAGTGGGATTCTGTCCTTTACCTGCCTCTTAGGAACTTACCCTCTTTGAGAGCCTTCTTTCCCTTTTGCCTTCAGGTTTGGACAAATTAACCACTGGGTTCAAAAGTTTTTAGTGAGAAGTCAACAGGCACATCGGTACTATTGTGTCCTTCCCCACTGAAACCAGGTGAAAACCCTCATTTGGATTCAAGAGGGGAGAAAATTTCCTATGAACTTTAGCATGATTTAAAATGACCAAAATATATAAGTTATGGTTTTAATACAACATAAAATATCCAGTAGAACAATAATTAAATAAGAAACATAGTAAGTCAATATTACTGTAGGAATGGCAAAATGAAACAAATCAAATGGCACCCATGTTGTATTGATGTGTTCCCCGTTAAAATCAAGGCACACTCGTGGAATTGCATTTCTGATAGAAATCTGTTTCATTTACATTTTTCTTTGATCAGCTTTAATATACAGCTATGGAATACAAACATATGTTATTAGGAAAAGAGGAAGTAGTAAAGAAATGTAAATTATGTTATACATCAACATATTTCTTCACCATTACTCTGTCTCATGAAATCAGTCTTTCCTTATGCCTTTATTTAGAAGGATTATTTGGATAGTGAAAAGAAAGCTGCCTGCAGGGGTGTTTTGCAGGGCTATCCTGTGTGAAAATCCAAATTTGATCTTATCAAACAAATATTCTATCTTATTAGGACTATCAAATCCTCTTACTGTGGGTAATTTCATCATATGGTCTGATTTTATGGATTCCTTCAAGATGCAACCCTATCCTCCTTTGCGTTCCAGTCTTTGCCATCTTGCTATTTTTTGTATAAGGTTGGAGCTTTAGTTTTTGTTGTATTTTAATGATCTGAAGTCTTTAACTAGCACTGTTCAGAGCTGTTGCATTAATGATTTAGAACAGCTATTTTTAAGATTACCTATGAAACATTGTGATTTTCTAACCAAAATAATCTTCATTACAGAGTCAGATTAATGCTTTCCTATTAATGCCTCTTCAGCCTTGATTGATTCCACCAATGGCAAAAGTATATGTGAATATTAACTTGCTCAGGTTTTACTGGAGTATGTTGGTAATGTGTGAGCTTTTCACCCTCTGGGATCTGGGATCAAACATTTATTAGATGACACAGTAAAGTGTGTTCAGTAACTTCATCCTGGTCTCTAGAGGATATTTGTCTGTATCACAGAGTCATTACATTTGTTGATCTCAGCTCATTAGAGACCCGTGAGTAGGGCAGGCCAGGGTCGGAGGTACGTCAACAGCTTCTGCTCTGCTGGCAGACCTGGCCCAACCTCAGATCAGAAGGGATTGACGGCCATTTTCTACAAAAAGGGAACTTTATTCCAATACCACTGCTTGACCTTAAATTAAAAGATAGGTGAAGTTTTTATTTAATTTAAAAAATTGATCTCACTGCTGCAAAGCTTCATAGCACCATTATTTTTGTGACAAACCCCCAAGGGTTTTGGGATGGGCTTTTTGGTGTGGACACAGTCCCCTCACAGCTGGAGGTCATTGTTCGGCTTTTGTGAAAACATGATTGTAGTGATTCGCTCTGTAGGAAAAAAAGTGTTACAGAAGACTGGGTACCAAAGGAAAGACTTTATTGATGAAGCATTAGCAATGTTAAAAGTTTAATGAAGATAACAGTGCTTGATGGATTTCAGCTAGAAAGCAACTTTTGTGAGTGAAGAAATAATTGCAGGCTGGCAATATCCATAATTGCTATTTAGTATATCGATTGCAGCCTGTTCCCTGGGTTGGTGTCTTGGTGTCAGGAAAGACTTTCTGGAGAGCAGAGGAGAGTTCCAATGGTTCAGCCCAACAGCTTGAGGCACAAATACGCTCTATTTGTCTAAGAGACAAATCTTCCCTTGAAATCTGTGCAGATGCTGGGGTGGCATGGGACCAGTTTAGAGTCAGTGTTGTCAGTCCTTCTCCCCTGGCAGCAGGCTTACGCAGCTGCATTTACAGACAAAATGCAGTCAGACAACATGGCTGTTAATCCTTCAGAGGATGGCCGGGGCAAGGGTCTCCTCCTGCAGCCCTTGTCAGCATTTATCTCTTATGTTGCAGGAACAAAAGCGTATCCTGGAGATGGGAATCACTGGACCCGAGGGACATGCCCTGAGCAGGCCCGAGGAGGTAGGAGACTTCACTTATTTTGTCGTTTGTGGAAATACTTTGTTGAGCACGTAGTATCGGAGCTTGGCTACTCTATGTGCAGATGATAGATAGGGGTGTGGGGGAAGGCAACAGACTGCGTTTCCCATGGCCTGTTCCAGTATTATTCAAAGCCTTGAAAATTCCAGGTCCCCTTCAGCCTGTCTGTTTGCCTGAAATACCATTTTGCTGCTGCAGCAGGTGCGTTCCCTTGGTCGAAGGATGAGCATGTCCTTGTACACTCAGGAGTTGCAGCTCCTGCTGCCCTGGGCATGGGTGTGCATGTGTTTTTCAAGTGTGACCCTTGTGATTTGATTTGTGATGACAAAAAAATGGGCTTATCAGGGTAAAAATCAGCAGTGAAGCCTGTGGGTAAGGGTTTGGGGTAACTGCATTCCTTAAAATGCTTTGGATGAAAACCTCCTATAAGATGCATGTGTACATGTATACCATACATATGCATACACCCACATATAAATCTATGTTTAAGCCGGCAGATACATTTGTAGTAGAAATGCCATTATGTGAAAATGGAAAGATGCTGTAAGGCCAGCTCATTTTATGCAACTCTCTTATAGTAAAACCCAGGCTCTGGCATGGATCATGTCAGGCATCTGGAAAAGGTTTCTTTAATGCAAAGGAAAAGGTGGAGACATGTGGATGTCCCTTAATGTACACAGTTCGGACCATTAATGGGACGATGGAGCGTGGTAGTGGGAAGTGGCTGCTTTCCTTGAAGACTAAAGAGATGAGGTCCTGGGGATTTGAGGCTGAACTTGAAGAGATTGTTGTGGTTTGCAGATCTTTATATAACCTCTCCCCAAGGCAAAAGGAATCGGCTTAATTGGTCACATACTTCTATCAAACTGTTTATGTATTTTGTCATTTTGCTGTTTAACTTCCACCTAAATTATTCTAAAAGAATGGAGTTGTTTCCTTTTAATGAGAACAAAAGTCTAAGGATAATCTGCATTTCCAGTTTCCAGGAAGGACTTTTTCACCTTTCTGATCACGCATCTTACTGCCTCAGCCCCAGAGCTGTGGTACAGAGGTCCTGCCTCCTTCGCTGGTCTTCTGCGGGTGTGTTTTGTGGCTTCCAGAGCAAATGTTGTGATAAAAGTCCTAGGGCAACCTGAAGTGGCAGTCAGATTTAAGAAAAAATATTTTACAAAACTGTGAAGAATTAAGCCATGTGTTTTTGGAAGGGTTAAGTTGCTCAACTTTTCTAGCACAACTCCTGGAGAGAGATTTCTGTACCATCGAGTATTTTCAGTGTTTTCAGTCACAACAGACTTTTAGGTATTAAAATGCCGATACTGTGAGTCCATCTGGGAAGGCGGAAACACTGCTCCTCAGTCTGAAGATGACTGCTTTGTGTGCCTACATCCCAGATGGCTCCCTGGGAGGAGATTGCCTTTACGCCTGCTGACAGAGGGGACTTACTGGGCGATGCTTCAAAGGCTTTTATGGATTATGGGCTAAATTCAGCCCATGGTGCTGAAGGTGCTGTTTGAGAATGCTTTACATTCAGTGTACTCTTATCCTTATGTGAAGATTACATAGGGTAAGCTGCCAGGGATTGCTCAGAGGTTGTCTCTGAGCTGGGGCAATGTTTCCTTGCTTTGTTCTCCTTCCAAATGCAGGGTAGATGTGTGAAGCAGCAAGGTGTCAGGGAGGTAGGGGTGGGCCCCATCAGCTGCTTGGATGTGACCTTTCCTGGGGTGCAAGGAGCCAGGGACCTCTATATGTGCCAGGGCAGCTGTACCCTGTTGGTGAGTACAGCCTGGCTGTGGTTACTCCTAATACAAAGTGTCTGAGGTTGGGTTAGCTCCCTCTTTCCCGGCACTCTATGGAAAAAGCAGAATCAGCCCTTGAAGAATTCTTGCTGAACAGTGAGAGATCTGTCTCAGTCCTCCAGTTAATTTTTTCTCAGTCTGCTTTCACAGTTAACTTTTTTCTTCCTTTTTTTCCTTAGCTTGAAGCAGAAGCAGTTTTCCGTGCCATCACCATTGCCAGTCGAATAAACTGCCCAGTGTACATCACCAAGGTGATGAGCAAGAGTGCGGCTGATATCATTGCACTGGCCAGAAAGAAAGGTGAGAGACTTCCTTTTCTCCCACAAACTCATTTTGGCTTTGTGGTTTTTTTTGTTTAGTTTTTGTTGTTGTTGTTGAACAGAAACTCAGTGGAAAAGCCTGTACTTCTTGACTCAAATCACAAGATACAGGGAGAGGTTGCCAAAGAATGGTAACGCCATCACAGACCCTAAATATTTACAGCTAGGAAAGATGAAGGGAAATCCTTCTACATTTTTCAGTTGAGAAACTCTCCCCACAAACTATAAAGTACCCCGTCTCCTTGAAGTTACATTGTGTTTTAATTCTTCTTTATCCTGTTTTCTGTTTTACCTGTCCCTTAGACTGCTCTACCTCTGTTCATGGGAGGGAGATACTTTTTTCCTAACAGGGTCTAGCACTTCCTCTGTGCCTTTTGGGGATATTTCAGGGTATTACTGTCTGAGGGGTGGCTTGGGCAGTGAACCTGCTGTTAGAGATGCCCGGTGCTCATTCCTGGCCTTGCTGCTGGAGGCTGACCCCCTCAGAGGTGCACTGGGGACATTTGCAGGCCAACACTGCTTGCTGGGGCTGTGGAGGAACCCAGATTACAAAGTGCCCAAAAGGGACTTGTGAGCATGGAGGCAGCCGCTTTTGAAGCTGCATTTGTGAGTCAAGACTGTTCTGCTGGTTGGTGATACAAAGTGTGAGCAATATGGAAAAGCCAAAGAACAAAATGTCATCTTGATATTTGTATTCTTGGAGACTTGGAGTATGGTGCCTGGGACCATGTGCTGCTATCTGCTGCTGCTGTGACCAACCTAGTAAAAAGGCTGCTGGAGCCCATCCTCCACCTAAAATCTCTCCGAGTTGGAGTATCAGAGAGGAGAGGGCTGTGATTACAACAGTACAAATTAAAACCAGATCTGAACCATCTCCTGGATTAGAAAGGGAGCTTTGTAAATATGCTGATCAAAAATATGTGTAACTCAGACAGCCTCCTGATTAATTTTTTATCATACAGACAAAGCCAGGGCTGCTTAGTTTTCCGGGAGCTACACTGGCCATGTAGCAATGTGTAAATTATACATGGCTGAATGCAGCAAGCAGTATAATGTGCTGAAGAGAGAGTGGATTGTAAGCAGTTCCTGTATATCCTTGCTTTTCCCAAGGTCCCCTTGTTTTTGGAGAGCCGATCACTGCCAGCCTGGGGACAGATGGGACACATTACTGGAGCAAAAACTGGGCCAAAGCTGCAGCTTTTGTGACCTCGCCACCTCTGAGCCCTGATCCTACCACTCCTGATCATTTAAATTCACTCTTAGCATGGTAAGACCTTCACTTTTTTTACAGGCTGATGGTCAGGCCAAGGGATATCCCACGTGGGATAAGGCCTCTAGGGATCTGTTCCATTTCCATTAGACCAGTCTCCCACATGAAACAGCAGAGAAGGGACGTAGAAAACCAGGGTGGTTATAGCCCTGTGTTTAGGCTGTCAGGCAGGTGAGCAGGCACGGACTTTTCAGCTCCCTAGTTAGCACGTTAGAGAAGCAACTGCTGGCTATTCAGGAATTAATTATTTTTCTTTCTGCTTTTCAAGTGATTCCTAGTTGTACAGATAGATAGTCTTTAGCCCAGGACTTCACACTGGCTTTCTCCCTAGTTCTGTGTTTTCTCCAGGCAAATTGTTAATATATGATCGGATGGCATCCTCACTGTCCAGAGTAGGCAACAGCCTGGTGGATAGACTCCTGTCTGTCAGAGTAGACTCAGTTTTAAGCCCTGGTCATATCTGGCAAGCACAGCTCCTGAAATCAGGGTTGTTCCTGAATGCAAGAGGCACCTGGAACTGAGAAAACTTTCCTGGTGCAGTTGTTGTCAAAACTGGTGTGGGGCTGTAAGCTATGTGCACTTCTGAGAATTAGTCTGTCCTAAACTAAATTGTAAGTGTTTGTAGCAGAGTTCAGTGGTTTTAACTCCTGTGTATTGCAGACTTCTGACTTGGTAGTTTGCCTTCATCTAGGATGGACCAACATCATATAAATTTACTTGTGTTTGGTTCTTGCAGCCGTGTTTTTACTTTTAGCTTGCCTTGTGTCTTTATAGGCTCCAGGGTCCTCAAGCTGGAAGACAGCAAAGATATGAGGTACATATAGAGAAGGCATGTCAGGCAGGAGAAAGGGGCTTCTTCTGCTCACCATTCTAGGGTTTCCAGTGCTCTAGACAGAGCAGTAGAATCTGAATCCTAAAAGTGACCCACTGGTCTTCAGAAAACATTTCCCCCTGAGGTTAGTTTTCCACATGGCTAACAGGCAGGCTGTATGGCAGGCAGTGCCGGCGTGGCTGGTAATAGAAGGCTCCCACATGTGGTAATTCAGGCTTGGGCAGAGCTGCCCTTTAGGTGGATGGGCACAAATGTGTGATGGGAAGGTGACATCAGTCACTGCCACTGCTGCAGCATGCAAATTTCCCCTTGCACGTGGCAGGTCAGGCTGTGCAGTCCTCCACACCCAGATTTTTAGCTGCCCTGATGATGCTGCACTCACAGTGCTATCAATGAACGCGCAGTGGAGCTCTGAGTTGCATGCGTTTCTGGTAAGAATACGCAAGAATTTGTTCTGTTGTGACAGTATGGAGGCAGAAGTGATTTTCCGTAATGGAGCTTTCTGTTCTTTAATATAAGGACAAGGAAGAAAAATTACTTTCTGGTCTGATCTGTCACTATCAGCACTGTAGAGTGAAGCTCATTGTGTGAGGGTAAGGCTCTTAGCAGCACATGTGAATGTGTATCAAAATGTTTGGCTCTGTACTCTGTCAGACATGGCTATATGCTTTCTAGAAGAGAGTCCCAAAGTAATAGTATGTGGGTCAAAACAGATTAGCTAAAATAGCAAGAGAATTTTTAGAACTGGAATGCAAATAATGACTTTTGTAACACTAACATCAGAAAGACAAACTGAGGAGCCACAGAAGTTTTCGTTATCCTCCAAGCATGCAAAAATGGCTTTTTTTTTCTATTGGCTTAAAGTCCTAGATCTTAAATGACAGCAGCTTACCCTGCTTTCGGTTTTAATACTTTAAATCTATACTGTGAAACTAAAAAAAGAACTGTATATTTTACCAGTCTGCCATGTGTACATGGGGAATTCTATGCAAGGATTATGGTAAAGACAGTATTTCACTTTTCTATTGCACTGTTCATCAGGAGACCAGTCTTTTACATTAATTAGAAGATCCTTACAACATTTTTCCTCTGCAAGTACTGCAGAGGAATCAGCATACTGTTTGTGCTGTTTTCCACAGAAAGTGTTGATTTTTCCCTTTGAAGAGTTGAATGGATAAAAATCCAGCATGTCTCATGGGGTTTACAGATTGGATTTGCTGTATGAGATTTGGTCCTTGTGTCATCTATGGGCCCTGCACCAGAGGTAGCTTTCATCTTCCATGGTACTGCTGTGTTACTGCCACTGTGATAGGCCATCTCATCTGAACTAGACATGTGAGATCCTGGTGTTTCATGGAAGATGCAATCTGCTGTGAAAGCCTTGTGTACAGTGAAGAATAAGATGACAAAGTATTGATGTGGCATTTAAAGATACATGTATGTCCAGGGTTAATTCCCACCACTCCCTCGTTTGGAGATGTTTTCCATGGTGATCCCTTCTTATCTGTCATTTTTTTTAGCTGCTCTGATGCTCATCCCCCATTTGACAGTGGAGTATATCTAGACAGCAGGAGTGCTCACGTGCTTAACCAGGAGGTGTTGGGCAGCTCTCGAGCGACATGCTTCAGCTTCAGAAGTCTTCTATTGACTAGACTGGGGAGCGCAGTGCATGTTGTTACCTGTGATTTAATGTCAGAGGAGAGGGAAAATGGGAGTTCCGAGGAAGCAACTCCTTTTTATCTTTCAGGTGTAGGAATTAATAGTGTGATGTAAGAAGCGCAACATAACCTTAGGGAGATGGGCAGTGATACAGGGCCTGGCTGTGACATTCATGTTTTCCTGGTTGTATTCATCAGAGTGCAGAAAAGAGAGAGGGTAAGACTCAAGAAACTTAGCTGACAGAAGAGCAACAGAAAGGAAGAAATGGCATTGCAATCTTCTGACTCTATTGTTGTGTTAGAATAAATGAATGTTTAACAGATGGATTTGGTTTAATCCCCTGGAGTAACACCAGGCAGTCATTAATACTCAGGAATAGCTAAAACATAACTGCTTTTTCACTATTAAATACACGGGTTTGGTTTCTGCTAAAAACTGGATAGACAGATGTGAGCATCATGAAGAACGAGAAGAGAATCCAGAAGTTCTTGTCTGACTGTCAGCAATCATTAGGGCTGGCAGCCCAGAAAATTGCATTAGAATTACTGATGTGTGACCCTTTTCTCCTTGGCTTGGCTATTTGTTAGCTTGCTGGAATCTAAATTTGTGGACCAGAATCATTCAGATGTTTCAGAGCTGGGACTTACATAATCAGTTAAAGAGAAGGATGACAAGCTCTTGGGGATGTGACCCTTCTGGAGTGATGCAATAGAAATCATAGCGTGTTTTAATATGCTTGAGTCCTGTAAGCTTAATCAAGACCTAAAAATATCACCTGTTTCCTGTGGGTATTGAAGAACCTATCTTTTTTATTTTTATTTTTGCAAGATTCTGCATATTGCTTATGCTCTTCCTCCTTATTCCTGAGAGCAGCTGTGATCCAGTTCTTCTCTCTCCAAAAAGATTTTCTCTAGGCTGAAAAATCCAACTTCTTAAATAAAAGTTTTATTATTTGGGAGCCCTTTGTGTGTTTTACTCCTTGCCTTTTTCTGCGTCAGACCTTTAAGTTAGCTAAATACAGAGCACATGTTTGACTTGCCCGATACATTTCTTTGTTTAAGTAGAAGGCTACCTGATAAAACACTTTCCTGCCTTTTTTATTTTCATGGTTGTGTTTTGAAAGGTCAGACAAGAAATATTGGTGTAAGAATTGCAAGAAAAATATATGAGCAGAGGAGAAATACAGGGAAACAAGATTGATGCTCATGACTTTGCATTGGAAAATCTGCCATTATTTTTCAACATGGTTATGAATTAATTTACCTTGAGAGTGGCAGACATTTCATACAAGCTTCTGATAATTTCCTTAATCCTGGAATAATCTTTTGTCTTGGTTAGTGGGCTTGTGCCTGATCTCTGTCAATAAGCAGCTGGAAACCCAAGGGAGCTGTAACCTGGGAGTTCAGGGTGCTTCTGGGGGAAAGCAGAGATGTCCAATGCCACTGTTGCTCTTTGCTGATCTGTAGCCAACATGTAAAGGCTGCTGACATGATTTACAGCCAATGCCTCCGGTGTGTAGGCTTGAAAGGTCCATTCACAGCTACTCTGAGACCAAGGTAGCCTTGGTGATGCCTGGTCTAAACCTTCTGTGTGTTAACTCCACAGCGGGGACCTGCAGGTGACGGGAAGTGGACATTGCCCGTACAGCACTGCCCAGAAAGCCATCGGAAAGGACAACTTCACTATGATTCCTGAAGGGGTCAATGGAATTGAGGAAAGAATGACTGTTGTCTGGGACAAGGCTGTAGTAAGTAATTACTTACTTTAATGGACTAAAAAGAAATTGATTTTCGGCTGAATAATGAAACCCAGAAGACTCTTTGCCAGTACTTCAGTGACTTTCTAATATATTTCTGAGAATTCCCTGAGAGAGAGCTACTATGAGGTGAATTATTTCAAAAACCTTCAGTTTTATGAACTCAGGGCTGTGTTTCACTTTTGACAGTGCAACACCATTGTGTGTTATTAGACCTGAGGCTTCACAGGCTCCACCACTGAATTTTCCAGTTGTGTCAGAGTGGATGCTTCTCAGAGATGTAGGATCTGGAGCAGTTTAATGATTTTGAAGTGGCCCCCATATAAGCGTGATTAATGGATTGTTTGAATTTGGGAAGTGTCTCATCGTTTTTGAGAAATTACAAATGGATGGCAGCCGAGCCTGAGGCTAGAATATAAAATGCTTTGAGGGAGAACATTGCATGTAATTCATACTGGCATATTTTGTGGTAGGGTGCTGGTATAAGTTAGCAATTTTTTGTGATGGTTCCATGGATCCTAATGTATATTCTCGCTCCATTGTCTTCACAAACACATCTGTGCACGCACACACACACACAGGCGTGCACTCATTACCTTGCACTGCATTGCTCTCAAATGTGTATTGCAAACTGGGAAGTGGTAGTATTTACAGTGCTCTTGTGAGCACTTCTCTCAGACTGTGTTTAATAACCACTTTCTTCAAGGACTGATACTGAGATTCCAAGCACAGAAGCAGCTTCAGGTATCTGTTGTGTAGGAGCAAAGCAGGGAAGCAAGCAGAGTGCAGCCAGCCAGTGCTATTTCCCTTTTGTTACTCCTGGAAAGGGAAGGGAATGCAGCAAGGGCTGCGACATGGGATTTACATGTGGTAACATTCAGTCCTCGACCACTGAGTAGCTTGTCTTTTGCAAAATATCTAATGTTTTACCAGGTAGCAAACAAGTGTTTATTTAATATTTAAAAGTTTGGCACTCTTTTTATTCCTGGGAATGTTGCTCTTGCTTATTGCCAGGGAAGACCCCGAAATATTCTACTGAAAAATCAAAATGCTGCTGTGTATAGCTGCTATTAACCCGTCACTGATTGTATAAAAAGTTCAATTGGTGGTGCCATTTCTCCAGGCAAGGACTTCATAACTTGCGTTGCATTTCTTAGATTTATAGGTTTGGTAATGCTAATAGTAGAATGGATTTAATTTGCAAGAAATGTTTCTAAAAGAGTCTGAATCTTGATCTTTTATTTAATCTCATAATACTCATATAAGTTTCTTAGTTTTAAAATAGTTAAAACATTTAAATGGAAATTACTAGGACTAGCAACAAGCCCACTCAGGCATCAGTGTGTAGAGAAAGGGACCTTAGATAACTGAGTAACCTGATGGTATTATCTGCATTAAGGTTTTATTGACTGTTCTTTGAGGTGCCAGGAGTAGCACACTCACTTACTTGAAACTCCCAAGTAATGTGCCTTGTATGAAATCCTGATTGGTAAAACCTGTTTCGTGCACCATTGCCATATATACAAACCCCATGCCTTCCCGTATCTCCCTGATTGTTCGGCACTCTAAACAGTGAATCCCCATTTTATAAGCATGTTTTGCTCAAGTAACTTTGTTTTTAGGCCACAGGTAAGATGGACGAGAGCCAGTTTGTAGCTGTCACCAGCACCAATGCTGCCAAAATCTTTAACCTGTATCCAAGAAAAGGCCGGATTGCTGTAGGATCGGATGCTGATGTGGTTATTTGGGACCCTGATAAGGTGAAGACTATAACAGCTAAAAGCCATAAATCGGTAAGGAGAAAAGGAAAACCATCAAGAAAAAAAGAAATGTCACTGTTGCTTTTCAAATGTTGATCTAATTCATGTGAACACCAAATATATGGGATACAGAGGAGTGGCATAACTGCCTATTCCTGTTCTGAAATGGGTAAATAGTTCAGAAGATGAAAGTATTGAAATCTTGCATTGGAAGCACTGGGATCAGGAAGGATTTATTTTCTGTCTTCATATTACATTGCACTATGTTTTGCTTGCTTGTGGCCGATCTGTAACAGGTGTGAATCAGCAGGTCTGCAGCTGAGGCAAGTAAAGCTGTGATGATGAATTTAAAACCCGTTCATTTTTTCTGTTTACCTGAAAACCACCTGATATTATAAATCACACAATTAAATCAACAGATGATTAAATATTTTTATAACACAGCTCTGAGCAGCTTCATGGCTGGGATTTTCTGTCCAATTCCAAAGCCTTGCCACATACTTCTCTGCCCTTACTGCAGAGTACCAGTGACTCTCAGTTGCTTTGATTTTGACTGTGCCAGGTTTTATTTTATGTGTTATGTATCTCAAAGTTGTTATCCTATTGTTTGGTGCTTTTGTCTTTTATATTGGGGAATTCATCCAAATGTTTTACTGGAAATCCAGTAATCTGGTTTATATTGAAAAAGCACAAGCCTTTAGAAACCTTAAAATTAAAGTAAGTTTAGGTGATTGAGTTTCTATTTCTCTGTCTTGGGATCTTTATGTATTTTCAAGAAAGTAATAATCACCTGCCCTTTGACAGTCATTCCCATTTAGATTCAGGCTTTCCTGATCCTTTCTGGGCTTTTTCAGACAGAAATATATGTGCTGGCCCCTTTGAAATTCCCTTACACAGTCACAGCACATGCGTGGTGGGACCACGTCCTCTGCTTATCTGGCAGCTGAGTCACAATTTTCCTTCTTATTAAGGCTATTGCACTTCTGGAGGCTCTGGATATATATTGAAAGTCCTCAAAAACAAATGAGATTAAAAGTTGATGGAAAGTGAGCAATGGAAAGGAAAAGTCTGATCCAGGAGAGTCTGATCAGAGAGATTCTTTAAAATCGATTCATACCAAAAAGCATTGCTTTTCCTTCAGACAAAACAATTTCATACATCTCTAAATGGCAGTTTTAGTTGTCTAAAAGTTTGACTACAAATACAGATTGTAAGTTACTAACTGAAAGTGATCTTGTACCAAACTTGCAGTGAATATGTTGGTTGATCCTTAGGCTGTTGAGTACAACATCTTTGAAGGAATGGAGTGCCATGGTGCCCCACTTGTGGTCATAAGCCAAGGGAAGATTGTGTTTGAAGATGGAAATCTGCACGTAAATAAGGGAATGGGCCGCTTCATCCCTCGCAAACCTTTCCCTGAATATCTTTATCAGCGTATCAAAATCAGGAATAAGGTAATGTCAGATATTATTTAATCTTCCTTATAGCCATACATTCTTGGAACAACAGTAGCACTTTTTTTATTATTGTGCTAATATGAGTCCGTGTCAGATGATATATGACTTGTTCAAAACGTGACAAAAAAACTGGTTCCTCTGCACGTGTGAACTGATGTAGCAACACTGTGAGCTTCAGTGGGTAGAGCGTATAATTGCCAGTTGGGCATAATTGCCTCGTGTCCAGCTGTGCAGGCTTTTGAAGGGAGGTGGAATAGTGATAGAATTTTCTTTTAGTTAAAATTCAAGAAAAAGATAAAGCCTCTTTGGGAGGAGGGTTAGTCAGAAGAAAAACAGAATTTTAAATAATTACTGATCTTTGCATACTGAGCAGCCACACTGCAGAGAAGAAAAGCATGTAAGCCAGAGATACTCATCATATTTGTCATCTCTGAACTGCTGTTGGTGCATTTGCTGAACTCAGTATTAGCAGCATTCACAGCTCAGAAAACTTTTCTCTTGTATTTATAAAAAGCTTGGAAAATTACCAAGATTAAGACTGGGTCAGTTCTGGTTTTGAGTTATATCAGTGCTCCTCTATTGAAAACCAATTGGCTTGGCAGTAGTTTGGGCTTATTTGGAAGGTGCTTCTTGCCACTGAGCAAGAAAGTCACTGTATGAGGACAGGTAACAAGACAAATTGACTAAAACTCGTATTTTTTTCAACCAAGCATACATCATAGCCAAGCATATATCATAGCCTGTGAGGATGGCAGCTGAAATTAAGGCTACAAAGCAGGTTGATCGTTTTTGTCTTTCATCATTTGTTGTACAAATTCTGTCAAGCTGTGGGATACAAAAGGTTTACACTTCTAAAGAGAAAAGGCACTGTAAAAATCAAATGCACCTGCAAAAGTTTTGTAAAATACCAATGTGTTGCACTTTTTTTTACATTATCCACTTAGATGACATGGGCTTTCTCTTCACACTCGCCTCTCAAGGGTTTAGCACACAGGAGTGCTGTATAAATTAATGACGATGTCATTTCAATACTGAAAATGACACTTTAAAAAGGAATATCAAACAGTGGTGTCTTATACCAGGAGTTTGCACTAAAGTAACTGGGCTAAGGAACCTGCGTCTTGCAAGAGGACCTGGATTTTAGGAAGGACCTGTGATTTTATGTACTTAGGAAAGGTCTGCAAAAGGACGAAGAAAAGGACTGGTGTTTTTGCTCTTGCAGCTCCCTCTGCTGCCTGCCGAGAGAGGAAGGGAGAGCAAGTTCATGCCCGTGTTTCTTTTCCCACTATTGAATTTTATCAATTGGAAATATTTAGAAAAACCCAATGATGGTCATATCAGCCACCATATGAATATGTCAGTGCATGCAAAGGAATATAGAGAAAACATGTCAAACAAGGGACGTCAAAGCTGTAGCTGGCACAGGATAGCAGTATAAATTTATCCCTGGAGCAGGGAGAGCAGTATAAATGCCTGCCTTTGTGGGTCCCTGGAAGATGGATCATTGCTGTGATTGGCAGCTGCTCTCTTCTGGGCATTAGTTTTGTCTCAGCCTGTGAGACTGTGGTTCTTCTGAGCCTGATGTCCCTGTCACCCAAAGGAAGGAAAATGCATTGATTTCTGTAAGAGCTGGATCAAACCCCTGTGAATAGTGTTCTTCCTTAATTTCACTGTTGACCTGTTGGGAAAAATTATCTGAAACAACAGTCTTGTGAACCACAGATTTCTGAGACTTTCGATGAGCCATGGCTTCAGGCTCTTCCTGAAAATTGGAACTCTGTTTTAACAATAGCATTTCCTAGATTCCTGTGATTTTCAGGCCAGTGAGGCTGTTTTGATTGTCTTTTCTCATATTCCTTATAGGACCTGTACAGGGATAAAATCTGGAGACCTCAAACTGAAATCAGAGCTCAAATGACAGATACTCTGTTGACAAATAATGAAAGATGGGTCCCATGCCACAGTCTAGCCTATAATTGCTTTTCTGGTTGATGATAAGAAAGGGAAACTTTTGAAATTTTAATTTTAAAATTGCCATGACTTTTCAATGAGTTTGAATGAAAATAATTAGATTATCTGAAGGGGAGCAGCAGAGAAAATACAGGTGGGAGTGAAATTGCTGCAATCAGTATAGTGGGTATCAGTCTTGCAACAGCCGAAGTGGGATTCAGCAGCTGAACCAAC